ACACCAACATCCATCCCCATGCTTCTAGCTTCTACCAAAAAGCGTCTGCAAGAAGTCGTCCCTATAGCACCTTGAACCATAAGTTTCACCCTTAACATTCTGAAGAACTTACTGATGAGATTCCTACCACGAGTTGTTTCTTACTTTTCCATGAGACAACATTACCTCCTAGGAAAGTACAATAACTAGTGGTTGATCTCCGATCAGAAGGAGATCCAGCCCAATCAGCATCTGAGAAACCTTCCACTCTAAGATGTCCATTAGCTCGATATAACAGTCTAAGTCCTAGAGCTCGTTTGAGATATCGCAGAATACGAGTAACTGCCTCCCAATGTGGTACTCTAGGACATCCCATGAATTGACTTACTATACTGACTGCATAGGAAATATCCGGTCGAGTAATAGTGAGATAATTAAACTTCCCAACCAATCTGCGATAACGACCCGGATTTTCAAATAATACACCATCATCTATCAATAATTTTTGATTCGGATCCATAGGGACATCAATCGATCTACCACCCAGCAAACCTGCTTCCTCGAGCATGTCAAGTACATATTTTCTTTGAGATAAACAAATACCCTGTTTAGATCGAGTCATCTCAATACCCAAGAAATACCTATGTTTTCCTAAATCCTTAGTATGAAATCGATCCTGTAAAAATAATTTTAACTTGACAATCCCCTCAGAATCATTTTCAGTAATCACAATATCATCGACATAGACCACCAATAGGACATACCCAGCATCTGTCTGCCTATGAAATATAGAATGATCTGTTTGACATCGAAGAAGACCAAACTCTAAAACTGCATCTGAAAACTTATCAAACCATGCCCTCAGTGACTGCTTTAAACCATACAAAGATTTTTTTTAACCGACAAACACTCTTACCAGACTCCCCCTGAGCAGTAAACCCAGGTGGCTGCTCCATGTAGACCTCTTCAACCAAATCACCATGTAAGAAGGCATTCTTGACATCTAACTGAAACAAGGGCCAGTCAAGATTAGCAGCCAAAGAAATCAAGATACGAACAGAGAAAATTTTAGCAACAGGAGAAAAAGTCTCCTCATAATCAACACCATAAGTCTGAGTGAAGCCCTTTGCAACAAGTCGGGCTTTGAGACGCTCTACTGAACCATCTTGATGAAATTTAACAGCATACACCCAATGACATCCAACAGTTCATTTACCAGAGGGTAAAGGGATGAGATCCCAAGTTCCATTATGATGTAAGGCATCCATCTCCTCCTCCATAGCTTTCCTCCAACCCGGATCAGATAATGCATCCTGTAAATGCTTAGGAATAGATATAGCAGATAATTGGGAAGTAAAACAGGAGAAGACAGGTGACAAGGCATCATATGAAACAAAATGAGAAATATGATGATTAGTAACACATGAACGAGTACCTTTGCGAAGAGCAATAGGTAAAGAATCTAAATTACCTGATGTTCCTGGATCAGAAGGCGACAAGGAAGACGGTACGGGTACTTCAGTCAATGGGTGAGGACGACGAGAATAGACACGGAGAGGTAAAATAGGTGGTAACACAGTGGGCAGCGGAATATCTGATGGTGGTATAGAAGAGAAGCCAAAGTCCAGATCCAAAGGCTGAGAGGGTGCTGGAAAGTATGGAACAGATTCTTCAAATGTGACATCCACACTAGTAAAATATCGGTGCAGAGAAGGACTGTAGCAACGATACCCCTTCTGCCTGCGAGAGTAACCAAGAAAAACACATTTGGTAGCCCGAGGATCAAGTTTGTCAAATCCAGGACCCAAATTGTGAACATAATAAACACAACCAAAAACCTTAGGAGGAAGGGAAAATAAGAGCTTACTAGGAAACAAAATAGAGTATGGACTTTGTCCATTTAACACAGAGGAGGGCATACGGTTAATAAGATGACAAGAAGTAAGAACAACATCACTCCAATGATATCGAGGAACATTCATCTGGAATAACAAGGCACGGGTGACTTCCAACAAATGACGATTCTTTCGTTCAGCAACACCATTTTGTGGAGAGGTGTAAGCACAAGAAGTCTGATGAATAATGTCAGTTTTACTAAGATAAGCTGAAAAAGGATCATATTCATATTCACGAGCATTATCGGAACGTAAAGTACGTATACGACAACCAAACTGAGTTTTTATTTCTTTACGAAAAGTCTCAAATATAGAGAATAATTCAGACCGAGCTTTCATAAAAAATAACCAAGTCACACGAGAATAGTCATCCACAAATGTCACAAAATAAGGATATTTATTAGATAAATATTCTTTATTGGACCCCATACATCAAAATGAACTAATTCAAATGGACTAGACACACGATTATTGACTCTAGACTGAAATGACACACGGTGATGTTTACTAAGTTGACAAGCTTCACAAGACAAAGATGACACATAACTAAGACTAGGAACTTGACGCTTTAGATTCTGGAGAGAAGGATATCCAAGACGACAATGCCATTGAAAAGGAGACAACGAGGTCTGTAAAGCTCGGGTAGATGAATCAAAGTCAAGGTAATATAGGCCACCAGCTTCATGCCCCGTTCCAATCTTCATCTTCGTCTTGAGATCCTGAAAGACACAATAAGAGGGATAAAAAATTACCGAACAATTGAGAGAACGAGTAATCTTGCTAATGGAAAGTAAACTAAAAGGAAACTGAGGAACAAATAACACAGAAGATAGGGACATATCAGGACTCAAGTGAGTAGTCCCCAGACCTGAAACTTTAGAACAAGTACCATTAGCAAGAGTAACACTACGTGCAGAAATAGCAGACTGATAAGTAGAGAAAACGTCAGACGCACCAGTCATGTGGTCAGAGGCATCAGAATCTATGATCCAAGGGCTGCGGGTGGAGGACATTAAACATGTGGAAGCAGTACCTGACTGGACAAAATTAGCAGTGGAGGGAGATGAAACAGCTTGTTGCTGGGACAGGAACTGAGCATACTCCTCTCGACCTAGTGTAATAGTAACTGACCCAGTGTCTGGTGGAGCTGACCGAGGTATGGAAGCAACAATCGAGGTGTCATCCTGATAAGAAGCCTGATTAGCAGTACCAGAGGGTTTTCCATGTAAATCTCAACAGAAATCAACAGTGTGTCCTCCACGGCGACAGTGAGTACAAGACCGAGATCCATTACGACCTCCACGATCACCCGTACGACCTCCTGTACGACCTCCGCGACCACCTCGATGACCATCACTATGGTGATTAGGAACTACAAGAGCTGAGCGATCAATGGAGACACCATGATCAATTACTGAGGTAGTAGATAGTGTAGCACGCTGTAAACGAGAGAAAACCTCAAGCAGTGATGGAAGACTAGATCCACCCAAAATCTGAGAACGAATAGCCTCATATTCAGGTTTCAATCCAACCAAAAAACGAACAACATTCAGGTCCTCATGTTGCTTTTGCCAAACTGCTGCATCAGTAGTAAACGGATGGTAAGTTTTCATCTCCTCACAGACTCCCCAAACATGAGAGTAATAATCCGCAAGACTCAGAGTACTCTGCTCCAACCGGAAGTACTCCTTGCACACCTCATACGCATGGGTTAAATTACCTGTACTATAATACATAGTGGCCAAGTGATCCAATATCTCTTTGGTAGTATCAAGATAGAGCAGAGAGGAGCTAATATTGGGCTCTATGCTATTCAACAATAAAGAAATAATCTGAGCATCCTCTTGTTCCCACTGATCATACCCCGGAGTGTCCTCCTTGGGTTTAGAACCCACCAGATATTTCTTAAATCATTTTCCTCGAAGAAAGACTTGAACAGATCGTGACCATAAAGTATAATTAGTCTCATTGAGTTTGACAGAAGTCATGAGACCAGTGATAAGAGTAAGAGGAGGCAACACAGAATTTTTGGGTTCCATAATAATGCAGGAAATAACAAAGCAGATAACAAATAAGAAGTGTTGCAGGACTGAACTGGACAAGAGAAGCCCACTTGAAAGCTGAACCAAACTGAAACGGGTCTGGACCGGTCTGGTCTGGTCTGGACCAAGTCTGGACTTGATCAGGATACTGAACCGGGTCTGGACCGGTCTGGCTGGAACAGATCTTCTCTTTCGTTGGTTAGGGTTTCTACCAAACCCTATGCTTTCACTGTTGAACACCACCACAACACCGAACACCACCACACCACAATACCGGACATCACCAAAACACCTCCACAGACCACCACGAAGATAGGCGACTACACCACGACGAACAATCGCCACCACCACAAAACGCCGAACAGCAACACACCGTCGACTACCACCAACGTCAACCACACCAATCGACTACCACAAGCCACCACCGTCGTCGTTGTTGAACACCACCACGACGCCGAACAGCAGCACACCATCGACTACCACCAGTCGACCACACTGATGGACTATCACAAGCCACAACCAAATAAAAAAAAATTCGATGAGCAGTACACCGATCGACTACCATCAACAGTAACAGCACCAAGATTAATGCTCTGATACCATGTTAAGTTAAGAGAATTAATATAACACAATATTAGAGGCAATATTAGGGAGAAAGAGAGGTTAGAAAACTTAACTTAGCTCTCATACATAACTTGTATTTATAGTTAACTTACAATAAAAATAATAACAGATACATCTTTTTTACTATTAACAATTTACACATACTACTACTCTATTATTCTTAACACATCTAAAAGATGGCATGAATTAATACTCACAAAGACATACCTTTTTCCTAGGATGAATGACTGCTGCTCATTATTAACTTGAATAGTCTTGCTGCTATTGAAGTTGGAAACACAAGTCCTACACTTTGGGCAATCATGCAGATGCAGATGTTCCAAGGAAGGGCATTCAATACCAGCATGTCCAGGGTATAAACTTGCGAGGCATGGAACAATTTTCAGAAACAAGTTCTTTAGTTTTGGGAAAATTATTTTGTCGGCTTCAATATCGTCGGCCATTCCAATTATCCCTCCAATGCAGAGCAATCTTCTACCCAGATGTCTTCTAGTTGCAGGAGACACATTGCCACAGTCCACTCGAAAAGATTTCTCAATTTCTTGCATTTGAACACTGTCAAGATTTGGAGGTTGTGAAAGATTGCAAGGTGAGCAGGGCCATTCCAAAATTTTGTTGAGTTGAGGCAGCTTCTCCAATTTTAGTTTTTTTATGTTTTGCAAGACAATTTGTCCTTCTTCTAGCCCTTTAGATCGAAATACATCTTCTAATGAATTGGAACTTAAACGTATCACTTCCCGATTTTGTAGTCTTTGCAAAAAATTAGATAGCAGCAGTCCATCCACCAAGTCAATACATTGTTCCACTTCCAATAACCTCAGCTTACCCAATGACCCATGTGGTAGTTGGCCAACACATATCTGTTTCAAGCAATCCATATTGTAGACGCGCAACTCCTCCAGGTTCTCAAACACGGGTGGTTGGTTTGGATCACAATTTGACGAATTCATGAGATAATGCATCCCTTGCATGCTTTGTCAAGTAGTTTCTCAGCTTTCTCAGTCACCACTTTGTTAAACCAATCGGGCAAGTTGTTGATGGTTATATCAAGGACCAAGCCTGTTGAATGGACTACTCCACCTTTTGATAAGTTTACATTCAACATCCTGGTGAACAACTCTCTGCTGACACATATATCAAATTTTACCCATTTTGGCTCAAAGATAATATTCCTAGGCACACAATCAACATCCACTATGTCAACTTTTAAAATGGAAAGGTTAGGTAAGCATGTTAGCTCATCAAAACCAGCATTAAATCCTCCTTCTGTTCCTTCGACCACCTACCCCCAATCTCCAAAACTAGCTTGCATATATAGTTCTTCTAACCATGATAGGCTCGATATCAATTTGGGTGGAATCCTTATAATATAGCTACTCAAGCTGAAATCCAACACCCTCAGATTGACTAGTCCTATTTCTCCTGGCAACTCCTCAATGCAAGTTTCTTTGAAACTGAGTATCTCGAGCTTCTTCATATCTCCCATTATGGACAGCTCTGTTATTGACTGACAACGATCTAGACATAGTGTCCGAAGGTTAGTTAGGAGTCCAAGTGACACTGGCAGAGATGTCATATCAACACCACTGAAGTCCAACAGTCTTGAGTGATTTCAACTCCTTAAAGAAGTTCTCGTGCATGTCAATATTATTTTGCAGTAACAGCAATTGGAGTTTTGGGCATACTAGCCCATCAGGTAGTCCCTCTATTTCATTTGACATTAGCGAGATTGCTATGTAATCTTCATAGGTATCCTTCCTTGGCCACTCCTTTAAACGCATACCAGCTTCGACCCTAATAGCTTGTCCATCCTTGGATGCTGCAATTCGTAAGCCCACATCCCGGACAACATCATGCATCTTTACCCATCCCCATTGGTCGCTTTCTAACAACAAACTGGAAACTTTGAGGTATTTGGCCATCGATAGTGCTCTGGCTCTTGTTTTTTCCATTGTGTTGGCATGTTGAAACAACCCTTGGCCTATCCCATACTTTACCAAATCTTCCATGCTAATGTTAGAATCTTTTGGAAAAAGGCAACAAATCCATATGCATGACTTGGCATCGTCATCTCTTAAATAATCGTAGCTGAACTTTATACATCTAAATACCCCACCATCATCATCATGGTTTTCAGGCCTAGACCTTTCGAGTTGGGTAGCAGCTTCTTTCCATTTTCCCAGGTCTTTGTCTCCCAGAGCCCTTGCCACCGCTGCAGGTGCAATCGGGAGTCCTCCACATTCTTTACTGACCTTCCTCGCTACAACTTGGAAATCAGGGTAGCCAACAACCACTCCTGCTTTACTCCTAAACAAGATCCATGAATCCTCATCCGATAGAACGTTTAGAGGGATCTTTGGGGCTTTCCATTGAAAAGCAGACATTTTCAAGTCATGTAGAGAGTAAGACTTTGGATTTGCAAGCCTCAAGTTCCTGCCACTTGGAATTCCTATGTCAGATAACTCTATCCTATTCCAAATGTCATCCAGGATTATCAGGATTTTACTTCCTCTCATTATCCTCTCCTTCAACTTACCTGCTCTCGCAGATTCATTCTCTGCATCTAGTATTATGGCCAACTTATCTGCAAGTTCCCCCTGTATTCGTCTTAAATTTGGTTTTTGGGACACCACAGCCATTATTGCAAGATCAAATAACCCATTCTAATGGGCTTTAACACTCACTTGTTTTACCAGGGTGGTTTTCCCCACACCTCCCATCCCATAAACTCCCACAATTTGGACTTTTTCATCTTTCAATGCTTCCATGATCTCATTCATTGCTCGCTTTGTTGCTTCAAATACATTGAAATCTCCACTGGACTGCGTAGATTCAATTTGTATAGGTCATCCAACATGGTGAGAAAACACATCAAACCTTAGATCAGGACACCACCCATTAAAGAACATCTTACCAACCTTGGCTTCCTCGTCCAGTCTTTCTACATTCATTATCATCTCATCACAACTTTTCAGCCATTTTTGAACCTCACCTTTGATTTCTTCTCCATTTATTTCGGCTTCATCGACCAGCACTTTTTTGTCATCTCTAAGAATCCTAAGGTTTTCGACATGATCATCAAGAGACTCAATGTTTTTTCCTTTTTTTAACCAAATAACCAACTTCATGCTTAATTGGAACCCACAACAACTCCCCAATTTTAATAACGAAATCTATAATCTCCGAAGCCAGTTCTACTAAATCTCCACAATTTAAGGCAATACAACAAAATTTGTTACAAAAAAAAGGAGACAAATTGGATGTAAAATGAATTGAATTAGGAAGATCTTTCTGTAAATTGACTACTAACCTTGAAGCTTAGCAAGTAACACCTATCTTTCACCATTGATAAGCTTGTTCATCTCATCACAAGTTTTCAGCCATTTTTAAACCTCACCTTTGATTTGTTCTCCATTAATTTCGGCTTCATGAACCAACACTTTTTTGTCATCTCTCAGAATCCTAAGGTTTTCGACATGATCATTCAATGTTCTTTCTCTGCAAAGCTATTGCTTGTCTTCTGTTGGTATATAAATTTCTACAATTTAAGACAATGCAACAAATGTTTTTGAAAAAAAGGAGACAAATTTGGATGAACAATTAACTAAATTAGGAAGATTTTTGGGTAACGTGACTAACCTTGAAGTTTAGAAAGCAACATGTTTCACCATTGACAAGATTGTTCAACGTCTTTCTTCTCAGCCAAAGCAATTGCCATCAACCGAACATCTTTAATTAGAATTCCGCAGGCCGAGAAGAAGAGGACTTTATTACGATACCGATAAAAAAATTGGGTACATACTTTCAAAATTTACTATTGAATAGAGCGAGAGTGGCACTACCACACTTCCCAAATCTTGACTCGTCAAATTATTCAATTCTCCCTTATGTACACACTATTACTTACTAAGTTAATTTTATGTTGCATACACCTTATTAATAGTGAATCATATAGACTGTTTGATAACACCATTTAAAGCTTAAAACTAAATATTTTAAGTACTTAATAAATTAAACCCTTTTGATAATTTAAAACTTATAATAGTATTTTTAAACACTTATTAAAAATAGGATAAAATTTTAGGTAACAAGCTACCTACTTATTATTTAATGCTGCAAATGTTAGTGTATAAGCATCTCCAACCTTGACTCAAACGTAGACTCAAATTTAAATTTATGTAAAAATGGCCTAAAAAACTTCTCCAATCTTGGACTCAAACTTATATCAAATCAAGACAAAACTTATTTTGGACCAAAATTGAAGCAGACTCAAATTTATACCAAATTTCTAATGGTAACTTTTTAATCTATCCAAAACTAAAATACTTATTCGACGACTTATTTTCATTTGAAGGCATGTAGGTAAGGTTTTTCCTTTTCATCTTCTATCTTCTATCTTCTGGATTTGTTATATTTTTCAAAACTCTAATCTCATCCATTTTTCATACTATATAAACCCTAAGTCTACCCATAAAATTTTTCTTTGATTTTTTCAAGTTAAACATTATTAGTAGTACAATTTCAGGTCACCGATTCTTCCTGAAATTTTAATCCTTTACTATCCACAAATTTAAAAAAATTTGCCATTTTATTTATTTAATCTTCCATTTTTGTTAAAAACGTATGTTTTTGTGTTCTTCATACCAGACACATGTCAAAATAGTTATATTTTTTTTCTTTTTTTTATCTGAAAATATAAAAAATAATAAGAGATTAGAACAATATTAGAATTTTAGGGTAGTTTCTTTATTCCCATGTAGTGTTGTATAGATATTTTTTTTTTTTGAATTATCTATTTGTGGAGAGATATGAAAGTTTCATTTATTTTATCAGATATTATGATTTGAATGATACAAAAAAAATGAGTTTTGTGACAATAAGAGAATTTTTTAAAAGATTTGAGTAGATATTTGAGTTTGCCCAATAGAATACTCTAAATCAAATCAAATTTTTTACTCAAATTTGAGTCATGGTTGAAGATGCTCTACGAATTTTACCAATTTTTAATGATGGACAAATATGTCCTCACCACCATTGTGTCATCGCCACTACCATCAACACTATCACCACCACCATTGTACCATCGCCACCATCACCACCACTGCTGCCGCCACCACCGCCGCCACCACCTCCACCACCATTGCTGCCACCACTTCCACTACCGTCATCACCATTGTGTCATCGCCGCCACCACTACTATTATGTCACCTCCAAAACCACTATTGTGCCATCGCTACCACCCCACCACTATCGCCGCCACCACCACTATTGCTGCCACTACCATTGCTACCACCACCATCGCCACCATCACCATCGCTGCTGTTACCACTATCATTGTGCCACCACCACGACCATTACCATTGTCGCCACCACCACCATTGTCGCCACCACTACCATTATGTCACTACCACCACAACTATTGTGTCATCGTTACCACCACTGTGCCACCACTACCATCACCACCACCACCACCGTAGTGTTACGGTCACCACCAATATTGCTATTGCCACCACTACCATTGTGCAGCTGTTGCCACCACCACCACCATTGTTGTGTTGCCGCCACCACTACCACTACCATTGTGATAGTGGTGATAGAAATAGGGCAGTTACAGAGAGATTGCTAAAGAATAATAATATTCAAACTTTAGCTTTTTATATTTGTCAAACAATTTGATTAAATTCAACACTTAAATTTCAGTTGATATCAAAAAGTCTACGAATTAAAAAATTCAGTATTTAAAATTCAGCATTCAATTTTCAGTGTTCAACTTTCAGTTTTATTAAATACTACCTTACTCATTCTATGTGCACATCTTTAATGAAAGAAGTCATCGTAAGAAAAAAATAATGAAAGAAGAAAATTAGTTTAAATGTATAAATATATTCACGAA